ACCAGTCAGGATTTCCCTGGGTTAGTAAACTTCAGGACAGCTTGGTCTTGTAATAGTTGGAGTGGAACAGAGTTAGCAACAACTTCAGGACCAACAGTATAGAAACAATGTACTTTTGCAACTTTTTTTTTTGTCTTAATAAAACCAAGCTACTTGTTAAATATCAGCAGACTCACTTTATAAGATGATTTCTTTACAGATGTGCTAAGATTGTCATTTCCACTGGTTGGTTTTGATCATCCCTCTCTTTTTGTTCAAATCTAACTGCATTTATGATATCAGAAAATTATGAACTGGTTGATGATGTTGACTTAAGCTATATCCAAAAAAATGTCCTTGCTTGCCTTCAGCAAGAGAACCATCATCTCTGAAAGATAATATCTCTAATATTGTGTGCACTGAATTACAACATAAAATTCCATGAAGCCAGTAAAAAAGGAACTATGGCCCTTTTTTTTTTTTTTCCACCTAGCTGTCTGTTTTTAAATCTTTAAATGTGTTCTTCCTGGAGCCAAATTACTACTGCCAGTGATGGCTCTGAGCTGGTTTCATTGTCCCATCTGCTACTGAACAGTTTTCTTGAAATGATACAAAGTATTCATTTTATTTCTTGTAGCCTTTTTGTTGCTTGGAATTAGATTATTTGGTTATGTATTTTTTTCATTTTATTGTTTTAGTATCTGTTCCACTGATGGTTCTGATATTATTGGCATCCTTTCAACCCAGCAATGCCTTGATGTAGACTGTGCCTATGTAAAAATAATTGTTGAGCACTAACTATATGCAAAGCATTGTTCTGAGCACTTAGCATTTAATCTTTCTGGCATCCTTATTGGTTAAGGGTTATTATTTTATAATTCTATTTTACAATTGAGGAAATGGAAAGGGAAGCAAAATAATTTGCCTAATATAGAGTACTGGGGGAGCTTGAATCTAGAGTTTAAATCTAGAGAATTGACTGTGGAGCCTGAATCTTCCTGAGATATACTTAGAGACTGTTCAGACTAGTTTGCGGTTACTGTGATATTTCATTAATCCATCCTTTTATTTTTTTAATTATTACTTTTTTTTTTTTTTTTAAGAGAGGGAGAGAAAGAGAGTGAGGGAGGGGCAAAGAGAGAGGGAGAGAGAGAGTCTTAAGCAGGCTCCACACCTAACACAGAGCTGATGCAGGGCTCGATCTCATGACCCTGAGATCATGCCCCCAGCCGAATCTAGAGTAGAGTCAGGTGCTTAACCAACTGAGCCACCCAGGCACCCCAAAATCCAATCTTTTAAAGTGGATCAAATATACAGTAACGTGTATGTGGAGAAAATGTAGCAATACTATAAAGATTATTGAAATATCTTGGGACAAAAGGCACATTATTTAACAATAATCTAAAAAATTTGAAGAGAAAATAACCATAAGGACATTATTGGGATAACTGACAAAATTTGAATATGGATGCTGATTTAGGTAACAGTATTATATCAGTGTTAAATTTCCTGGTTTTGATAATTGTACTGTAGATTGTGTAAGAAAATGATCTTGTTCTTACACAGTGAAATACTTGGGAGTAAAGACAACCATTTGTCTTACTTTCAGTGGTTCAGGGGGAAAAGTATATATTTAGAAATAGAATGATTTTAAAAATGGGCAAAAATGTAATTAATTGGTAACTCTGGGTAAAGAGTATACAGGAATTCCTTGTACTGTTCTTACTTTTCTGTTTGAAATTTTGTGAAAAGAAAGTTACCCCAAAGTGAAGGTAGAAAACAGGAAATGAAGGTGTAACATTCTAAGAATCTTTTTTTTTTTTTAAGTCAAGTGAGGGATTGTTTCCTGTGCTCTGATTTTTTTTTTTTTTTTCCTTTTTAGGGGTTGGAGGAAGGATCTTAAAACAAAAAATCTTATCAAAAATAGTTTGATTTTCTCATATTTCCAAATCTACCCATTCAGAACTCCCCAACTTTCCAGCCTCCAAAATACCAGGCACAGTATTTTCCTCACCTCTTTAATGGATTGGAGTGGGGCAAGATTAAAAACATTAGTGCCTCTAAGAGATAAGATAAAAAGACAGTCTACTTTTAGTGATATTGAAAGTTGAATTGGGTTGGTTGTATCATTTCCCTGCCTAAAAGCCATCATCAGCATGCTGACATTGACTGGTTTTTATATCAGGACTCTGTAACTCTACTTTCAAGGGAGCTTGGCCCATGCCACTCTTTCTAACTTTGTCTCATGCCACTCCACCAAATACAGTACCCTCTGGCCACATCAGATCTTTGTGCACACTGATCCGTCCTGCCTTTGTCTATGAACTGTTGGCTTTGCCCGGAATGCACCCCATCATTTTTCTCCTGAAATTCTGTTCATCTTAAGTCTCTCCATAACATCCATGGGGAAACTGTCTCTAATCTCACGCAGAATTAAATTTTCCTTTGTCTGCATATCAGTCGGGTAAACACAGTGCTATCTCTCTGCTTTCATTCAGCAGTTCTTATTAATTTAGCATATACTGTGAGCCAGAAACTGTGCCAGGGCCTGGGGATTCAAATGCACTCCTGGTCTGGTAGCTGGGAGTGATTCGTACACAAATAGTCATGGATAAGTATGTAACAGAGGAATGAACAAAGTGCTCTGAGAGCTATGAACTCTAAGTGACAACTTAGTCTTAAAGAAAAGATTACAGTGAAAACCCCAGTGAGATACCATTCCCCCTCCCCACCCAGGCCCCTTTCCCGATTGGAGACTTCCAGCACAATAATCTAATTAGTGGCATAAAGTTTAAAATAATGATAGTACCTGTGGCTTACCCAGGTAGATATGTGTAATAGCTAAAAATACAAGTCTGGAAGTCAGGAGAGAGAGGTTGAGTCTGGCTATATGAATCCTACAGATGAGTGATTTTCGGTGTGTGGCGGCAGGGAAGAGGTAGAGGCAGATCAGAATTTCTTGGGCTCATGTACTTTCTCCAAGCTCTCCCCTCCCCTTCATTGCCCAAAATTCTGCTCTTGCTCTGGTGACATCCTTCCCAGCTTACAGTTCGTTGTGGAAAATGAGAGGCAGTATGGTGTGTGTGAAGCATAGGGTAGGCAGGAAACACAGCGGAGAAGCCCTGGTGGTTAAGTGGTTAAATGCTCGAGTGTGGGTGAAACCGCCCAAGCAGAATGAGATGAGGAGGAAGGAAGGGGATGAAACCTCAGAGAGACGAAGTTGTAGAGGGTAGGTGGAGAAAGAGACAGGTGGTGAGGAGGGAGAGCAGGAAGGTCGCAGACCCGATGGCAGAGGTTGCAGGCTGAATGATGGGTGGGCAGCAGTGCCTGGTGCTGCAGACGCAGGCCTGTGAGGCCAGTTTCAGCCCAACGGCAGTGGCACAAGCCCAGTGGCACCGAATTTTCTGGTGACTGCAGTTGAGGAACAGAACACAGCAGAACAGGTTACTTTTTCCAGGGAATTGGTAGGAAAGGTGAAGGAAAGGCAGGCGGAGAGGTGATGTAGGGGAAGGTAGAATCCACAAGGAAAGGTGTTCTTTTTTTTTAAGATTGAGTGGGTGGGGGTGGGGATCTTGAGTAGGTGTGGTTACCAAGGAAAAGGAACAGAAGGAGAAGGAGAAATTGAAAGTATAGGAGCTAATTCATGGAACGAGATCCTTTAGGAGTGATTAGCATTGTGGAGGAGAAGAAATTCTGCTTTGGTGGGAGCTCCTTGAGGTTAAGAACTATTTCTTACTCATTTAATATCCGTAATAATACCTGGCATGCAGTGGGCATTCAGAAAACGTTTACTAAAATGAGTAAGGATTTTACTTTTGGGATTAATCTTTCCTGATGGGTGTAGTTGAATAATGAAAGGGGAAAAAAAAAAAAAACTTCTGCTGTTTTGAGCCTATCATTAACATCTGTTATGTACTCTGTATGAGCAATATATTTACAGCATTGTGTTCTTTGAAATAACATGGAAAATCACAAATGAAATAGTATAGCTAGTAAAAATCACGATCACTTAATTTTTCTGTGCCTGATTTGTATTTCTTAAATTCCATTTCAGCATCTTGAAAGGTGTTATGCTCAAGGCACTGTGCTTAGAATTCATCAGAGGAGACAGACATGCATATGAAGTCCATATAAGACAGACTGTGTGCCATTATTTAACAGAGGGACACTATCCGCTCCATGACTTGATTAATTTTTAAATGCTCAGAAAAAGGACATCTCTTTGATTGTTGTCTATGTCAGATTTTGACTTAAAAGAAATTTTTTTTTTAATTTATTTATTTGGCAGGGAGGGGGAGAGGAAGAGAGAGAATCTTAAGCAGGCTCCACACGCAGCACAGAGCCTGACACGGGGTTCGATCTCACCACCCTGAGATCCTGACCTGAGCTGAAACCAAGAGTCAGACCCTTAACCGACTGAACCACCCAGGTGCCCTAAATATTTCTAATATTAACAAAGACCTACTTTATATAGAACTTCTGGTTCTGTGGAACTTTATTCTTTGGGAGTATATTCAAAAAGAACAGATTGGTTAAGAAAGGTGAAGTCGTGTCATTGCAGACAGATTTCACGGTACAGATGGTGAATGGATCGTGTGGGTTTTAAAATGCTGCCAGTTTCAGTGTTGTAGACCAAAAACCCAAAACAAATATGTGAAGGCAGTTCTGGTTCACATTTTCCTTCCTACTGCTTGTAAACTAGTGTACAGATTCATGCTAGCTCATTTTGTATTGCCCCCCCCTTTTTTTCCCAATTTCCCTAGAAAACTTTTTGCCTTTTTTTGTCATACATCATTGCCAGTGAAATATATTACATAAAATATGCTAAGCAAATCAAATTAGAATATGTAGACGTTATTTATGAGGACTGTAATGAATTGATTTAACTCTGGTTAATCTTTCCTGAATAAAATTGCTTCTGTTGATGAACTGCTGTCTTGAGAATTGACTGAAACAGTATTTGGCCTTCAAAGTCTTATCTTTATGCTGTTTTCTTTCTTTCTTTCTTTTTTTAACACCAGATGCCTGGTAGACACCTTAGGACTTTAAAAACGGAAAAGACCTGCTTTTAGGGGGTAATGCTGAGGGACACTATGAAATCTTGGAATGATAGCCAGTCAGATCTCTGTAGCAGTGACCAAGAAGAGGAAGAAGAGATGGTTTTTGGTGAAAATGAAGATGATTTGGAAGAGATGATGGATTTCAGTGATCTGCCTACCTCACTTTTTGCTTGCAGTGTCCATGAAGCTGTGTTTGAGGTGCAAGAGCAGAAGGTAGGCTCATATCCTGCCTTCCCCTGCATTTGGTAGCGGGTTCAATGTTTGTGGCTACGGGGAAACAGTGGATTGCTGCTGCCCATTTGCAAAGTTCGTTCCTGGCCCATGACGAGTACAAAAAGCGCGCATCAAGCTTTAAACATTGCTGCAGCATTTTACTTGTATTTTATGAGAGTACTGGTCTGCAACACATAGCAAGTATTTCAAAACCAGTCCTTTCCCACAAATATTTTGAGAAGCACCAGTTTATAGTGAACTCTGAACCAGGTCTTATGAAGTCCTGATTCATTCATTCATTCAGGTCTTATTAAGTCCTGATTTATTCAATCATTCATTCATTCATTCATTCATTCATTTTTGGAGCCTGTGATTAAGGAAAAGCTAGTGATTTTTATCCTGGCTTCCTATTACTTGGGAGTAAATTCATATAAGCCAGAAGTATTTTAAGCTTTTTTCTGAGGCTAATGACATAATTAGGACTATTTATCAATTCACTGTAACAGAATTGTTAACATTTCTTGTATTACTTTCTACAGTTTGGGGGAAAATGATTGAGTTTATTTTTTAAGGTCTACTCTCCTTTAGTTCATTCATTATTTACCTGGAAAGAGAGGTTTTGTGTGTGGCCTTTTTTTTTTTTCCCATCATGACCTCACAAAAGCCTATAGGTCTTAGTTGTACCAAAGTAAAATATTCTTGTCATTGGTAGACATTTTGCATGTGCAGAGACTTTTTCTCAACATACCAAACCTAATTTTCTGTCTGTGCACCCAAAGTGTTTTCCTTCCAGTCGCTTTCTTGGAGAAAACTCGATGTGGTTTGACTCACTACATACTGAGTGCCTCGAGTGTGTAAGGCACTGTGTCACTTGCTTCCAGGGATAGAGTAGGAATGAAACAGCTTCTGCCTCAGGCCAGTTACAGTCCTGCCGTGGAGATGATAAGTAATTCGGAATAAGATGGAATACTAGGGCCTTTAGAGGCACTTGAAAGTACACTGAGGTATCCGAGGACAGGAGGACAGCCAGCTGGAGCGAAAGATCGTACGGGGAGACGGCATTGGAGAAGAGCGGTGAGCCGGGTAGGAGGTTAGCAGGGAAAGGAAGGGGAATTCTGGCCAGGGGGAACAGAACGGGCCAACGAGCTGACTCCCAAGAGTGTGGTCACTTCAGGGAGGAGCTCTTGTGGCTGGTGCACAGGTGAGGCGGAGCCAAAGTGGAGTTAAATCCAGCTGGAAAGGTGAGTGTGGGACATCCTGCAAAGCTTAAGGAGCTGCCTTTCTTCCGGAAATAGTCTTCTGAGCAAAGGGGTGACGATCAGAAGCACGTATATTAGGAAGGTCCGCAGACAGCGTGTGAAGAGCAGAGCGAGGGGGAAAGATGACCGCCGCCAGTTCTGTACCTTTCAGGTTTGTTTTCATTGGCAAGTGTTGTTTTCTTTCTCAAGGTCAGCCATGATGCCGACCTTTTGAAATCATCCTTCCTAGTTTTCTCAAAATTTTTAAGAGCTCTACATTTTCGTATAATAATTACATTAACCTTGCCGTTTATTTGTGATCCGTGAAAAACCACATGTACTACTAATTTATCTTAAAATTATATTCCTAAGGATTCTTTCTCAAAAAACCTCACAATGGTATCTGTTCCAACGTCGTCGTCTTTTTTTTTTTTCCCCTAGAAAACTAGGAAGTTTTCTTTAACTTGCCAAAGTGGCACGTTCTTGGTTCTCATTTTAAAAACCATTTGGGATTATATCTAACCTAAATTAAATTGGAAATCATATCAGCAGAAATTCCACTAGCAATTCAGTCAGTGGACTTGTTATACATAATTCTTAGTTGTGGTAAATTTTGTATAAAAGCCTTAATGGTAATATCTGAAACTGCAGAATATTTATTTTATAACTGGAAGTGTATACCTTTTGGCCACCCCATTCCCCCTGCCCCTGGCAACCACCAGTCTGTTCTCTGTATCTATGAGTTCATTTTGTTTGTTCTGTTTTTTAAATCCCCCATCGAAAGGAGATCATATGGTAATTGCCTTTTTCTGTCTGACTAATTTCACTTAACATAATGCCCTCAAGGTCCATCCATGTTGTCCTAAATGGCAAGATTTGATTTTTTTTTACATGGCTGAATAGCATTCCATTGTGTGTGCCTGTGTGTATATATGTATGTGTATACATGCACACACGCAACACACACTACATTTTCTTACCCGCTCATCCATCAGTGGACACTTAGGCTGTTTCAGTGTCTTTGCTATTGTAAGTAATGCCGCAGTAAACATGGGGGTGCAGGTATCTTTTCAAGTCAGTGTTTTTGTTTTCTTGGGATAAATACCCAGAAGTGGAATTGCTGGATCATATGGTAGTTCTGTTTTTAATTTTTTGAGGAGCCTCCATACCATTTGGCACTGTGACTACCCCAATTTATATTCCCACCGGTAGTGCACAAGGGTTCCCTTTTCTCTACATCCTCGCCTACACTTATCCCCTGTCTTTTCGACAATAGCCCCTCTAATAGGTGTGAGGGTGATATTTATTGTGGTTTTATCTGCATTTCCCTGATGATTAATGATGTTGAGCATCTTTTGGTATGCTTGTTGGCCATTTGTATGTCTTCTTTGGAAAAATGTCTATTCGGGGGGCGCCTGGGTGGCTCAGCCGGTTAAGCATCTGCCTTCGGCTCAGGTCATGATCCCGGGGTCCTGGGATCGAGTCGCACGTCGGGCTCCCTGCTCCGCGGAGAGCCTGCTTCTCCCTCTTCCTCTGCCTGCCGCTCTGCCTATTTGTACTCTCTCTCTCTGTGTCAAATAAATAAAACCTTCAAAAAAAAAGAAAGAAAGAAAGAAAGAAAATTGTCTATTCAGATCTCCTGACCATTTTTCAAATCAGATTGTGTGGGTTTTTTCTATTTAGTTTATGAGTTCTTTATATATTTTGGGTATTAGCTCCTTACCAGAAGTATGACTTGCAACTACTTTCTCCTATTCAGTAGGTTGCCTTTTTATTTTGTTGGTTTCCTCTGCTGTGCAGAAGTGTTTTAGTTTGATGTAGTCACGCTTATTTTTGCTTTTGTTCCTTTTGCTTTTGGTGTCAGATTAAAAAAATCATTGCCAGGACCTGTGACAAAGAGCTTATCACCTATTTTTTCTTCTAGGATTTTTTATAGTTTCAGGCCTTACATCAAGTCTTTAATCTGTTTTGAGTGAATTTTTGTGTATGGTGTAAGATAATGGTTGAGTTTCATTCTTTGTGTGTAGCTGTCCAGTTATCCCAGCACCATTTATTGAAGACACTGTCCTTTTCCCATTGTATACTCTTGGCTCCTTTGTTGGAAATTAATTGACCATGTATGTGTGGGTTTAATCCCCGCTCTCTGTTCTGTCTCATTGATCTGTGTGTCTGATTTTATGCCAGTACCATAGTGTTTTAATTATTGTAGCTTTGTAATACGGTTTAAAATCAGGGAGTGTGATCTTCCAGCTTTGTTCTTCCTCCAGATGGCTCTGGCTATTCAGGGATTTTTGTAGTTCTGTACAAATTTTAGGATTCTTTGTTCTATTTCTTTGAAAAATGCCATTAGAATTTTAATAGCAATTACATTGAATTTATAGATTGCTTTGGGTAGTATGGATATTTTAACAATAATGATTCTTCCAGTCCATGAGCATGAATATCTTTCCATTTATTTATAAATTCTTCAATTTCTTTCATTTGTGTCTTGTAGTTTTCAATATACAAATCTTTTACCTGTTCGGTTAAATTTATTCCTACGTATTTTATGCTTTTTGATGCAAATGTAGATGGGATTGTTTTCTTAATTTTCATTTCTGGCAGTTTGTTATAAATATAAGAAATACAACAGGTTTTTGTGTATTGATTTTGTATCCTGCAACTTTACTGAATTTATTAGTTGGTTTTCTTTTTTTTTATTAGTTTTAACGGGATTTTTTTGGAAGTCTTTAGGGTTTTCTATGACATGTGTATCATGTCATCTGCAAATAATGACAGTTTTACTTCTTTTCCAATTTGGATGTCTTTTATTTCTTTTTCTAGGCTAATTGCTCTGGCTAGGACTTCCAATACTATGTTGAATAAAAGTAGTGAGTGTGGTCATTTTTGTCTTGTTCCTGATCTTAGAGGAAAGGCTTTCACCTTTTCATCATTGAGTGTGATGTTAGCTGTGGGCTTGTCATATATCCTTTATTGTGTTAAATGGCAATGATTTCTTGGATGTGACACCCAAAGCACAGGCAACAATAGAAAAAATAAGTTGGATTTTATCAGAATTTAAAATGTGTACATCAGAGGACACCATCAATGAAAGGGCAGCCTACAGAATGGCAGGAAATATTTTCAAGTCATATTATCTAATATGGATTAATATCAGATAAAGGATTAATATCCGAAATCTATAAAGAAATCCTAAAACTCCACAACAAAAACCAAACAACGCAGTTGAAAAATGGGCAAAAGACTTGAATAGGCATTTCCCCAAAGATATACAAATAGCCGGTAAGCACATGAAAAGATGTTCACCATCACTAATTATCAGGGAAATTCAAATCAAAATCACAATGAGATGCCACCTCACACCCATTAGGATGGCTACTATCATAGAAACAGAGAAAGTGTTGGCAAAGATGTGGAGAAATTGAAAACCTTTGTGCATTGTTGGTGAGAATGTTAAATGGTACAGCTGCTGTGGAAAACAGTGTAGCAGTTCCTCAAAAAATTAAGCATGGAATTACCATACGATCCAGCAATCTGCTTTTGGATATATACACCAAGAATTGAAAGCAGGGACTCGAGCGGGTATTTGTGCACCAGTGTTCATAGCGGCATCCTTCACAATAGCCAAAAAGTAGAAACAACCCAAAGGTCCATCGATGCCTAGATGAATAAATAAAATGTGGTATATACATACAATGGAATATTATACACCCTCAAAAGTGAATGAAATTCTGATACGTGCTATAATATGCATGACCCTTG